TTAAACAGAACTATCCTAGATCCAACATTTACTTTACGAAAAGAATATGAGCCAAAAAATTAAACAAAATCATAAGAAAAGAACTATCAGAATCCTTAACACTTTATAAGACTAACTTACCTGGAATCTTCAAGAGTCAGTAAAATAGATTTTAAAAATTGCAAGAAAATACTCTAAACAGATTATAAACAAACCCACTGCCATCGGATGAATTCCAGCTCATAGTGACTCCCACTGGGTTTCACAGATGGTAAATTGTTATGGAAGTAGACTGCCCCATCTTCCTTCCCTGGAACATCTGGTGGGTTTGAACCACTAGCCTACTGGTTAGCAGTCATATGCCTAAGGCATTGCAGCACCAGAGTTCCTTAAACAAATTATAGAGATCTAAAAATAAAAAAGGCAATGTGAAAATTTTGTTTGCACTCTAGCTGCCAAAAAACCCAACATGAGTTGGAGCCTACTAAGGGCAACTAACAATAAATACTTTTGGACAACTAGCACATTTTTTTTAGTGTGGGACAAAGGTGAATTTGGGTCGTCCCCCCCACCCCCTGCCAAGAGAGTGGACTTACTTTTAGGAGGTGCCTGCTAAAGATTCAAGGGTAAAGTGGTATCTGCAATTAACTATTGAATGTTCTGTCATAATGTATTTACAGGTATGAACAAATCAGGCAAAATCGTAACAATTGGTAAATCTATATCAAGGGTTATGGGTGCTTGTTTTATTGGAACTACAGATTTTCTTTAGACTAGAATTTCAAAATAAATACCTGACAGAAAATCCATCTGTTGAAAGTCACCTTTTTCATGGTAAACTCAATGAACAACTTCCGCTACTTACATACACATAATCCTGCATCCTCTTTCGTCTTAGGCATTCCCATATTTTAAACCTCTGTAGAATTCTGAGGTGTGGGAAGTGAGGAAGATGGCTTGAGAACAGAGCTGAGTAGAGCTTTTCTTAGTGGTATTCATTCATTCATTCATGGATTTGTTTACATTAGACACTTGAGCTTTCTAATAACCCAAAAAAAGTTCCCCTTTTCACATGAATGTAATTTATAAAGGTTCAAAGATTGACACTCATAGCCAGGGAACTTATACCTAATGTCCACTGGGACATGCCAGAATGACAGGTCAAGGAGGACAGAGCAAGGCTTGGGCAAGTGTCTCTTTGACATGAAAAACAGAAATGTTTTTTCATTCTGGAGAAATGACACAAATTTCCAAGAGGAACTTGAAAGGCAATCGTTGAGGCAGTGAGCAGTAAGATGGCTGTTACAGGCTGACCCACTAGCTCAGGTGTGCACGTCTACTTCTGGTTTCCAAACCAGGAAGGGAATACTTGCCTGGGGCTCCAAGGATTTTAGTGACAAGGAGTAGCAGCCACTTCCTACAGCTAAACCTGAGGAGAAACTCTATTTTCTTTTTGCAAAAGCTGTGATTGGGCCTTGGGAGACAGCAGGCTGGCAGCGGCAGTGGTAGAACCCTATACACAGGGGCTTCGGGTCTGAGATTGCTACAGGCCGCCTGTTCTCAACAAATGCAGGTGGCCTGGCAGGTGATACTTCTACCCAAATGTCCTCCCTGATGCTAGTGCCAAACAGAAGTGTGCTAGACTCCACCACAGAGCAGCCTCTCCAGATCTCAGTAGCAACTGTGAGTATACTTGCTGGCGGAAATGAAAAAAAAAATAGTACAACCCTTTAGATTGGCAGTTTCTTATAAAGCAAAACATGTTGTTGTTATGTGCCATCGAGTCGGACCCAACTCATAGCGACCCCTCCTTGGGTTTCTGAGGCAGTATCACTTCGGAAGTAGATTGCCCCATCTTCCTTCCGAGGAGTGGCTGGTGGGTTTGAACTGCCAGCCTTCTGTTTAGCAATCAAGTGCCTTTAGCCATTATGCTACCAGAGCTACTAAAGTTTTCCTAGGAGTAGAATTGCTGTCATATGATATGTGTAAAGTCAAACATACACATACCATATGACAGCAATTCTACTCCTAGGAAAATGAAAATTTTATGTTCACATAAAACCTGTGCAGAAAATATTTTTTATCAGATTTATTCATACCAACTGGAAACCCAAACTTCTTCCAAATGGTCACTATACACTGTGGTATGTCTATACAATAGAATACTACACATTAATAAAGAGGAACAAACTATCATTATACTCATTAATAGGGATGGACCTCTAATACATTATGTTAAGTGAAAGGAGGCAGAATCAAAAATCTACACAGTGTATGGTATTTACAGAGACAGCTACCAGGGATTCACAGTCAGGGGAAGATTTGATTGAAAAGAGGCAGCATGAGGGAAGATTTTTCAGGAAAGGAGATATCCTCTGTACTTTCATTGTGCTGATCATTATAAATGGAATGCATTTGTCAACTCATATTAGCTGTATGTTCTAAAAGTGATTTGCTGTTTTAAAATTATAAAAAATAAAGCTAAAACATTTTACAAGCAAAGAACAATTAATGTTTGTTGTTTTTTTTTTTTTAAAAAAAAAAAAGGTAATTAGGGAGAAAAACCATCTCCATCTTTGAGGTAGATGGTTCATATTAATGTCCTAGGATGGACTGCCTCTTTAGGCTGGTTCATTAGCATTTATAAAAAGTATATTTACATGTAAATGTTTTACAAAGTGTCATCACCATACACACACTTTTTATACCCTGCCTTTCACACATTATGCTATGATTGCCTCTCCTATGGTCTTAAGTTTTTCTGGGAAAAAAAAAACCCAACCATTTAGTTTTAGTCTGGGAGTTCAATATTCTGATGTATTGTCAGGAATTTATCTAAAACAACTACCTTCCTGGTGTACAGTGAATTTCATGGTTTCTACTACCAATCACTATTACTAACAGGCACCATCTTGGTGCCCAGGGATTTCCATATGATGACTCTACAAGAGGAAGTGCTGGGAAAAGATGGAATTAACCTAGGTGTCCATCAACAGAAGAATGGATAACCAAACTATGGTACATACACGCAATGGAATACTATGCAACACTAAAGAATAATGTAAAATCTGCAAAACCCTGCATAACATGGATGAAACTTGGAGGACATTTTGCTGAGTGAAATAAGTCAATCACAGAAGGGCAAATATAGTATTAGTTCATTATTGTAAAAAGTCAAGGAAAAGTTTATACATGGAAAGAAACTTTCTTTGTTGGTTACCAGGGGTGGGAGGGGAGGGAAGGGAACAATGAAAAAAAAAAATGCATTGACCCATGCCACTTTAGTTTTGTGTATTTCACTGTACATAAATTATATTTCAATAAAATATATTTTTTTAAAAAAAGGAACTCCTGGGTCAAGAGAAGATCTAATTGGAAGGCTTCTGTAACCTGTACTCACCATTTCCCGGGTGCCTTACATGAGTAGTAAGTGAGGTATCTCTTAGCTCAACGTGCAGCTTAGTGGTGCTGAATAAACTTCTAGGCCCATCACCCCCTTGGCCTTGTCTCTACTAACACAAGAGCCCCAGCCAGGCTCCCATCTTCTCCGGGCCGGTAGTGTATGTGCGTACCAGCTGGACAGCAGTCACTATTCCAGAACAGCCTGGCAACTACAGCCTCAGGTCCTGGCCTGGTGAACACTCTTGGTCAGAATTGCCAAACCCTGAATGTATCCCTGAGCACAGGCTCTGTGTCAGTGTCAGTAAGAAGGTCCACTGAAGTCAGGTCAGGCTGGAGCTCTGTGTGAGCCCACCATCCCCTTGGGCCCTGAGAATGAGCAGTCTTTCCATGCAAACCTTGTTTCTCACACCAAATTAGAGGGTTATGTCCCATAGGATGATTTTGGGTTAAAACTTTGTGAGGCTTCCTTATCAATAAAGCAGGGATCATGATAGTTGTAGAGAAAAATAAATGAGATGCAAAGCAAAATATGTCCAGTACAACACTAACATTCACTACAATCTTGATTCTATTAAAAACATTGCTTTGTATATGAGGAATGCAAAAACAAAACTGTGAAAGGACCAAGAGTGTGGAGATTCTAGTGACTTTTGCTTTTCTAGACACATTTCAGTTCAAGTAAGTTTTGCACAATGAGAATATACTGCTTTTTATACAGAGAGAAAATATTAACACTTGATAGCTGATTAAAAAAAAAAAGAACACACACTTGAAAACAGTCATATGTTAATGAAAAGATTTTTTATACAAATGAACCAAAATGTAAACATTTCTTATCCAAATTCAAATCCAAGAATCAAAAGCGTACTTAGAATGATATTATTCACCCTAATGTTTTTTATCAGAAAATAAAAAGTGGAAATGAATGCATATGGGGATAAGATAACGCAAATTTCACATTTGTAACTTTGATGAGTTTCATCCTGTGGTATAAATTTCCTTGTGCACAAAAAGGGAAATAAATAACTTGGCATGACATGTAGATGTTTCCAGGTACCTTACATTTACATGTCTGTCCAGTGTGAGTTCTCACATGTTCAGTTGGGCTAATTAGGGAAGGCTTTTCATATGCATGAATCCAAATCCTTTGATTGAAAGTGTAGGGAGAAGAACACATTATTATTCACATTCTTTACACTTACATTGTTTCTTTGCCATGTATCTTCTTTCAGGTTTATGAAAAGAGGAGGGATGAAAGCTATCCAACATTACTTAGACACATATTATTTTCTATCCAGTATATCTACTCAGATGTGTTCCAAAGAAGGAGGGACATCTGAAGAGTTTCCACATTCCTTACCTTCATAAGGACTCAAGTGTAAGTATGTTTACAGAGGGGAAAAAAATAAACTTTCACATTCCTTACATTCATAAGGTTTTTCTTCAGTGTGAACTCAAATATGAATACCCCTTCATAAAACTTCTGTGCACTGTGATTTCTTACATGGTAAGTGAGAGATCAGAAATGACTAAATGCTTTTCCCACATTACTTACATTCATTAAGCCCACTCTCCTCTGTTCTTATATGTTTAGTGAGGGATGAGAAAAAACTAAAGACTTTCCCACATTACTTACGCTCATAAGGCCACTCTCCACTGTGAGTTCTTATATGTATAGTGAGGGATGAGGACTGACTAAAGGCTTTCCCACACTCCTTACATTCATAAGGCCTCTGTCCATTATGAGTTCTTATATGAGTAGTGAGGTGTGAGGCCTGACTAAAGGCTTTCCCGCATTCTTTACATTCGTAAGGCCTCTCTCCACTGTGAGTTCTTGTATGAGTAGTAAGGTGTGAGGAACGACTAAAGGCCTTCCCACATTCCTTACATTCGTAAGGCCTCTGTCCATTGTGAGTTCGTATATGTCTATTGAGGGCTGAGGAGTGACGAAAATCTTTCCCACATTCCTTACACTCATAAGGCCTCTCTCCACTGTGAGTTCTTAAATGTCTAGTGAGAGCTGAGGAACAACTTAAGGCTTTCCCACATTCCTTACATTCATAAGGCCTCTTTGCATTGTGAGTTCTTATATGTATAGTAAGCAATGAGGAAAAACTGAAGGCTTCCCCACATTCCTTACATTCATAAGCCCTCTCACCACTGTGAGTTCTTATATGCCTAGTAAGGGATGAGAAATGAGTAAAGACTTTTCCACATTCCTTACATTCATAAGGCTTATTTCTGCTATGAAATTTTTTATGTAACGTGACCAATGAGGGACGAGTATAGGTTTTCCAACATTCTTTACCTTCATGTTTATGACTTTTCACATGTGTTTGAAAGGATGAGAAACTACAGAAATCTTCCCCGCAATTGTTACACTCATAGGGTTTCTCTTTAGTGAGTGTTGTTCCAGGATTCTTAAGAGTTGAGATGCAAATGAAGCCTTTCTCACGTACCTTACATTTATATGGTTTCTCTCCAGTAAGAGTTCTTACAGAAGTGCTTAGATGAGAGGGACAACTGCAGGCTCCTCCACATTCCTTACACTGAGAGGTACTGCATCCAGTGTGAGATCGGGTATGAGGCTGAAGGAATGCGTGATGCATGGCAGATTTTCCACATTGACAGCATTCAGAAGGATGCAATTCAGCAGTTCTTTTGATCACAGTAATATCTGCAACCCGGCTAAAGGCTTTTCCACACTGGGTGCCTTCATTACTTTCACTGAGGTGCTCTCCCATCTGCCTTCTGTTAAAAATAGGCAGCATGTGGTTGTAAAACAATCTGTCACCATTTCACTACTACCATGCACAATTAAGGTGCACATTTTTTGCACTGAGTTGTCTCATGTTTCTAAGGTTAAATCATCTAGCAGAGATGCTACCATTACTCTCACAGTATTTCTAAAATAAAGATCTTTCTGATAATTGAGAGCAAGTGAAAAAGGTTTTGAATATGTGACTCACCTTTATGAAAATATATTGAACACAATTTCAGAACTAATTAAATGTATATAAATACATATATGTGTGAATACATACAAACACATATGCATATTTAATGTTATGACATCCTGTAATGGTATCAGCTGGCCTCCATCTTAGATAATGCATCAACATCTATGTTGAGCCCCTTCCTCACCCTGTTAGCTAGTATATCACACCCTGCTACAGCTAGTTGCCCCAGGTAACGATGCTAGCAAAATACTCATGTTTCCCACTTCTCATCTCACCACAGCTGCCCCATTTAGTTACCATGCCCTCTTTTCCTTAATTCCTGCTCTTTATTTTCAAAAGGATTGATGCCCACTTACCCCTTAAATTCCCTTCATGCCACCATCCGACCCTAATAAAGGCTGTGCCCCAGGTCTGCATTCTCTCTCCCCACAACCTGTTCTCCACATGTGCCATGGTCTACTGTCATGCCATGCACCCCTGTACATGGTCCTGTGGTAATAAAGTTCATTTCCATTGTTATGTCTTATGCTTGAAGCATGACTTTCCATCCAGGACAGTAATAACCTGGGCCGTGGGAGATTGATTCCTGTCCCCTCCCACCCTTTTGAGGTGAGAGCTAGGTTGAAATCAAACCTACATAGAACACACCTTAAGACTCTCTTCGAGGCACTGCTCTCCCATGTGAATGACACTCACCTCATATGTCTCCCCTGGCTTTTATGCTGATCTTCAATGCCATGCAATTTGCAGATCTCTCCTAACATGGAGGACCAGGTGTCATTCTTCATAAATTGCACTATTATTTGTTCACTGGATAACTTTTCTCCATCATTAAAGTTTTGAGAAACTGACCCAATGATTCAAGTTGAGATTCAAATTAGGAAACAAAAAGCAAAGAAATTATTAGGAAGGAAAAGCAGCTGTGAGCAAAGGAAGACAGACTGTGATGCATTTGGCCCTGACATCATGTAAAAGCAATTTACTAGGAATACTTCCATGAAGATTGAAAGTGAGTGTGACATAAATCAAATGTAACTAGGAGAGCAAAGTATAAAGATGTTAGACGTGATGTACATTTAACGTTGAAAGGGAAAGGGGGAAGGTCTTTCTCCATGAAAAGGTGTAAGAGGACTGATGAAAGTCAGAAAAGTAAGCTGAGTTATCTGTGAAGTTCAGTCTCTTTGATCCAAAAAGAGTTTTTCTAACTGATTTAGTCAAATCTAATTACCCCCATTCAGCGCTGGTCCTTCAAAGGATTCTTGCTTTTCTGGTGCTCCCCGACACAGTGGTGCTGGATGGGTCCTATCTCTACTCTCCTCAGATCTTTCTCTTGCTTCTCTGAGAGAACACATGGGTGTAGCTGGCATGGTGCTCTTGGAGAAAGGCTTATCATCAGGGAAGACAGTGAAGAACAATGAACATCTCCCTGACACTGAGCCAATACTTTGGCCTTCAGGATCTCTGGAGATGGGCAGCGTAGAGTTTATGCAGCAAAATATTGATGTCAAATTTTATTTTGACACAATAAAACTCTTTACAAGGTCCCAAAACACAAATCTCTCTATGCCCTAAAATGACCCAGAAGCCAATGCTCATATTTACAACACTTTTAGAGCTTCAAAGCTTTTAACCAGTAGAGAAATGAAAAGTCAGTTTAATACGTAGAGGTTCATGTTGATGTGGGAGCCAGGCTGTGCAAACTCCATAGAGCAAAAGCCCTCATTTGTTTTACTTAACAGTGTATTCTCATTTCTCAACCAAAATACCGGAGAAAGGTCAATGAGTATGATATATTTGTTCACTAAATGAGTAAATTAAAAAAAAAAAAAAAAAAAAAAAGCCATCTTTACCTACTGAGGCCAGGTTTCTGAAGGTTTCCATCATCACGTCTCTGTAGAGTTTCCTCTGGGCACGTTCCAGCAAAGCCCACTCTTCCTGGGTAAAGACCACGGCCACATCCTCAATGACCACTGAGTCCTAAAACAACCCACATATTCTGCATCAGCAAGATACCATGTACACAAGTGTGTGCAAGAGGAAGGGTGAGGCTGACGGTCCTGGGAAACAGAATTCACAGGGATTTCACACAAGGTCCTGTGTTTTACAGTCTACTCTAGGGTTTAGTCAACAGCCTCTTCCTTTTGCTATCTGCGTTCACTTCCTCACTGATCGCATCCTATTACGTAGACTTCTAACACACAGAAATAATCTCTTCACAGTGTGACTCAGCCCAATTTGAGTCTTCCTCCTCTCTCTCTCTATGGTCTAGAACACTTAGAACACACAGCACAAATTAAGAGAAAAGCTCTACAAATAAGTCTTATTTCCACATTCAGATCATCATTCCCTTATGATACAAATAATTTCACCTCTTTTCATAAGACCCACAAAAACATTAAACACAAAACATGAAGCACAGGGTCACAGCAGGCTGAGATAGTAACAAGTAATAAACATGCAATGACTGACGTTTTTTCCTTTTGCCCCTCACCAGCCATGGTACACAAGACCCTAATTGGCTGGATTTTCTTGAACAACTCCAAGTGGTCAGGAGGTGACAGGACTACTTCCCTGAAAAAAGAATATTCTTTTACAAAATTATGAATTTTTACATGTCTATTTTTCAATAATTCATCAGCTGCACTATCATCTTCCCCTGCCTTTACATGCAGTCAGGCAAGAGTACTGAAAAGTTAAACAGAACCCAAGTGAGAGAGACAGGACACATGAGAATCTAGCCCTCCCACAATTCTCAACATTTTCAGACCAGATGCTGTTGTAATTGTTACGTGCTGCTGAGGTAGTTCCCACTCATAGTGACCTTACGTAAAACGGAATGAAACACTGTCCAGTCCTGTGCCATCCTCACAATTGTTGCTATGCTCGAGCCCATCAATGCAGCCATCCGTCCATCTTATTGAGAGTCTTCTCTTTTTTCACTGACCATCTACTTTACCAAGCATGATACTCTTCTCCAGGGATTGGTACCTTCTGAAAGCACAACCAAAGCACAAGACACAAAGCCTGGCTATTCTCACTTCTAAGAAGCATTCCTGCTGCACTTCTTCCAAGACAGACTTTTTCATCCTTCTGGAAGTTCGTGGTATCAGTTTTCATTCCTAATGACTCCGTGTGGTAGAGCAAAATACCTCAGTAGAGTTTTCATGGCTGTAATTTTACAAAAGCAGATCACCAGGTCTTTCTTCCACAGAGATACTGGGCTGGTCTGAACTGCCAACCTTTCAGTTAGCAGCCAAATGCTTAACCACTGCAATGACTAAAAATGGTCAAATCTCCAAGAGATCATAACAATCCTTATTGCATATGTGCCTAACAACAGAGCACTCAAATGTTGTTGTTATGTGCCATCGAGTCAGACCCAACTCATAGCAACCCCTCCTT